TCTGCAGAAATCTGTCTTTCCATTGTTTTAGAAAAGCAAAGATACTTAAATAAGGCCTTACATTTTATTACTCCAAAACACATTTAATTTTGTTTGACTAGATCATGTCAGTATGTTAATAAAATAATTGTTATTCCAAACATGCTTGGTGAACTTGAACAGCAAAGCGAAGTTTATATGTTTAATCAAATATATTCAGTAATTCCAGTGGAAGATGCAGAAGTGTTTTCCGTCAATATTTCCTTGACTTTTGAAATGAATATACATTGCCCAAGTTCTCTTTCTTGTGCATCCATTTTCTATTCATATCTAAGCAATTCAATTTATTTGTATGAATGTTTACAATTGTTGAATGGGAAAAAAATCCTGCAGGGTCACATTGGCAACTTTTCTTGCTGAAGTGCTTTTACGGATATATGATCAAGGAAAGGAAAAGTCTTGCAGATTTTCAAGCCCCAGGTTGTAAGGTGGATCATAAAAACAGTTGTAATTTCCAAAACCATGCTGTATTTTTTTCAGAAATATTTGGATATATTATAAAAAGGCTGCCATTTCTCATTTTTGTCCCTTATGCAACACTTCATCTTTCCTTCTGCACGAGATCAAGACTTAAACTTGTCTAGTTCCTTCAGACAGTTTCAAAAGAAAAAATAAAAAGCTTAAAAAATATTGATTTCTAAAAAAACTATCCGTAGTGCTATATGGTTTGAAAACCAGACAGGAAACTATGAGGTGAGAACTGCCCATGCACAGGTTTTGGGCAGGCGTGGGAAAGTGGTAGGATAGTGTGGTATGAACAGGAGCAGGAGCTTTTGGGGGGCAGTGGAGATTCTGAGGGGAGACTTGACGGGGCAACACAGAGGTGAGATACAAAATGAAAGGAGCTGAGGAAGTACGATTGTGAGGACACAGGAGCAGAACAGGCAATTGCAAAGAGCCTGCAAGACCAAGGGGGAGTTAAGGGATCCTGCGAGGCTCCTTGCTGCTGTTAACCCAGCTGTCTCTCTGGATAACACTCTGGAACAATGCCCAAAGCAAATTTGTAGAATGTGGTTTGTAATCTTTCTATATATTTATCACTAAACTCTGTAGTTTTTCTTCAGGCAGCTTTCTCCAGTAGTGACTGCTCAGGGTCCTACCCAGAACAGAACACCTGAGGATGGACTTTTGGTGGGTAGTGTGGCTGGCAGAGAGGAGGTGAAGTCAGTGCCCCAGAGCTCAAGTGTATTGTGTTTGCAACTTGTATCAGGAGTGACTCTGAACCCTTTTAGCCCCTGGAAGATTTTCTGTCCTCAGGGAATGTGAATAAATGGGGAGTCCAAGAGGGAGACTTGAAGAATTTCTCCAGGAAGAAAAGATGTAAATATTCTTGTTTATTGGCTAACACTTTTTAAAGCTTTTGCTAAATATTATGGGTTTATTTCTGCTAATAGTAGAAAAACAAGTAGAAAAGAAAACATAGAGTTGCTCAAGAATCATGGTGTTCCTCAGATTATCTTAGCAGGAAACCTCATTTGAGATGAGACATTGCTCTTTTTAGTGGTATGGTTTCTGTTAGTTTATTATAGAACTAGGGATATGATGATTTTACTGCTAACAAACATTTGCAGCACATTTAAAAATGCTGTAAAATTGCTGATGGAAGAATACTATTCTTGATACAAGATAATGAGTATCAAAAAAAAGTTATTTAATATGGAAATTTACCTTTCCCAATACATTTATTTTCAACCTCTACAGTGTTTTCAGAGTATTTTGTATAGTTTCTCTGCTCTGAAAAATACATGGACAAATTTTCACAGAGATATATACATATATATATATATATATATATATATGTATTTCAGGGAAAGTGGCAGCTGAACAAAACCTGCTCTTTTAACCAAGCAGCAAAGCAGCAGCATAGGACCAGAGATGGAAGTCCTTCTGCTGTAAATCCACATCAATTCAACTAAGACCAAGCACTTGTGAATATTAAATTCACACTAGTGTAGCTAAGAGGTAGAAATGGCCTTTCTTTTTGAAACCCTTGGAGTCCGAAGTGAAAAAAAGTAGCAGGGTTTAACCTTTAAACTTTTCACTGACCTTTAAACAGTACTTTGGATTATATGTGCCCTTGTTAATCTGAAGCCACTTGCAAACATAACAGGCATTCCTTTTTTTAAGTATACCTTACATGTGTTATCGAAGGGGTTAAGCATTTCAAAAGTTTGGCTCTCGTTCATTATGTCTTTATCACCTTTTTAAGTGATGTTTATCCTTGTAAACAAAATTTTATAGTTAGCAGCAACACAAGCAATGCTTTGCGTCAAAGTGCACTAAGGTGGTGGCCAGATGTAGATCTAAATTCTTGGAGGTGCAAACCCAGGTGTTGATCAGGGCGTTAAATTTTGCGGAATTTCTGTATAAATGTAGAGCTCTATGAGGACCAAATATTTTAATATCACTTTCCATCCCAGATAAGTAGAAAATCTTCCACCAGCATCTAATCAGACCATTATTTTTTTCCTCTTCAGCTTTTCTTTCTTTCACACTATTCACATCACTGCTTTGCATGCACTTTTTCCTCACATACCCTCCCCATACATATCTTCACTTTGGTCTATTAAGTCCAAACTATAGGTCCAAACTATATAAAATTATAAAAGAATTTATCTTGGACAAAATTTCACTGTTCTCATACTCTGAGGAGTTTAATTAACACTAGAAACATCTACTGCTTGGTATAAATAAAATAGTCTAAAATTGGTGATTGTAATTTCCCCTTTTCGTTCACACAATTATTGCAAAATGTCTTGCCATTCACAGGAAATTTGTATTCTAAGTATATCTGTCTTTAGTGGAAAAATGTCATGGGCAGAGCACAAATTTATGAGAGAATGTATATGTTTAAGAACTAACTGCTATACCATACTCTATGTCCATCATTTGGATCAAGAATTTTCCTGCTGGAATGTTACCGTAACAGACACACTCATGTACTGTCCCTCACATTCAAGCTACTCTTCAAGCACATAAATACTGGATTTAGAGATAGCCTAAATTTCAAAAAATTATTTTGCAGTGAAATATGAAATGCTGAAAATTGCTGACACAACATAGCACAACAGAAGCACTCATGCTGAGTCAGTGGAAGAAACACCATTAGAGCTTTGGAAAACTAAATGTGTGGGATTTGTGTCCCCGCAAAGTTTTACTAGGATCTGACATTGTAAAGACATTAAGTCTCACAGGCTTTTAAAGAAGGAGAGAGTTCATAAGCAGAGATCAAACACTGAAAGGTCTTGTGACATAGCTGGTGAAAAGCATCTGTATTTTATGCTATAACTTTTTTATCATCTCCTCATGTCTTGCTGTTGCATTTTGGAGAATGACTAAATCTCTGGAGAGGGATCAGATCTATAAAAATTGTCAGTTGTTAAGACAAGATATTCAGAGAATAAATGAATTATTGTACTGCATTCCTTTATTGAATATTCCTGTGGCACTGCTTTAGTTAAGTATCAAGAACACAAGCATTTAACAATATTACTTGAAATTCAAAATACCTTGCAAGGACTGAGATTGAATTTGCAAATAAAATATGTGCCTTGGATTACATGTCACTTCTCGGGATGTTTTGACATAACACATTTAGAAAATACTTTCCTGTGACAGAAATGATTAAAATAGATTTCAGTTATCTATAACTTCTAACGGAGCCAGTCCAGTTCTTGATTAATTTGTTCTCTGCATCACAGTAAGCAGCAGCTGACATGCTCACTTGTATATCAGCGTGGAGGCCAACTGCTTAAGGCTAAAGTGTTATTGTGTTACTTGTGTGAGTAATTCTATTAGCAGCAAGAGAAATAGCCATGGATAAATTGTACAATGGTCAAAAGTGAGAAAATAATCTAATTTCCTTCTCTTTTCTGAAGATGATCTGTGCAGCTATTTTAGGCAGACCTCCTGCGTGATAGTACCCACATCTTCAAAGCCTCCATCTTTTTATGTCCTCTCAGGGCTACCAAGATCACACCAGTTTTCAATATGTAGTTAGATAGGCACACTTAGAAAAGTACTGGATACATAAGCAAATCCATTTGATATTTTGTCCTAATAATTTCCAAACTAATGTACCAAAATAGCAAATATAAGGATACATAGGGAGGTACTTCTCTCTGAATCAAGGGTGAAAAAGTACTTACTCAAGAAATTCAGTACATATAAGGACGACAGAGCATTTTCCCAAAGAGCAACCATGTCCATAATGGAAAATATACAACATAAATTTAGTATTAAATCTCATGTTATTAAATTTATTGTTAATTACAGTTAATTTTCAATGTAAAATTTTAGTATTAAATGTAGTATTAAAAAAAAAGTTTTAATCAAAGTAGACAAGTCCTACCACAGAATTATGCTTAAACTTGCTGCTCATGTTTGTGAGACTTGTAGGTATCCATGAATGGCAACATTGGGTTTACTAAAAAAATGCCACGCTTAAACTTATCCAGGAGAGCAGATAAGACTGCCTGTCAATAGTAACATTCTCAGAACAGCATGGTTAATTCGCTAATCAAGTCACCTGCCCATCCATCTAGGTCAGGCAAATAGCAGAAACAAAAAAAGATTATTACCTTTTGCAATGTGCCTGTTCTTAGCACATGATGGGAGAACTGGGAAGATAGCATCCATCAAAAACATGTTGCTTCATGTTCTGTGACACATTTGCTGTAAAAGGAATGGAACGGAGAGAATGAATTTGGTTGTTGTGGTTATGAAATTCAGAACCTGGTTCTATAGCCTGCTGATGACATGGACCTCCGTTGTCATTTGGCGCTGATTATGTATTCACTGTCTTAATTAATAATTATGGATATGTTAATAGTGCATGAAATTGCACCCTATCTGAAAATAAAATGGGTACTGACATGTCAGGGACTTAGCTAAAGGGTGTTTTGATTTCTCTCTCCTTAGTGCTGGATCTCACTGTTGATCTGTTATCATTTTAGCTTCATCAGATGAAACAGTAAGGTGGCCAAAGGAAGGTTCTCCTTCCTGCAGTATCATAAGACTGGTACCAGCTGCACAACATGACTGACAAGAGGTAAGGTAAGGTTAGAAATGCACTAAGGCAACCCTAGCTAGTACCAGCTAACCATTACCCACCGCTCCTGTTCAGAAGGGTTTGAACATTTGAAGTATTCCCACATTCAGTGGGTGACAGAGAGCAACAGCTGCTCCACTCCTTAGGCCTTTGGTTAAGGCACTTACAGGTCTTAACCTGTATCCCTCATGCATTTGAAAGCCTCATGAGGGAGAAGGAAGTAGAGCCTGAAACCCTAGGAAAAATGCTCAGATACCATATAGGTGGGTACAGCAGGGTGAGGGGTACCATCGTCAAGGTTTGTCAGAGAGAAACATGTTTTAGGACTTCTGTGATGTCCCTGACCTGAGAAGTGTGGCCATATAACATTTCAGAGGCAACCCCTTGGGTGAGGCAGACATATCCCTGTTCTCTGCATAGGTTTCAGAGGGATTTAGGCATGAGGAAGAAAGAGGGATAGGAAGAGGGTTACCTTGCCCTGGAAAGCAGGTGGTCTTCTCAACCTGTATCATAGCAAGCATCCTGCGAATATTAAGGCTGAAAATTGAGGAGCTTTAACCTGCTTAAGGCCTTGGTGCACTTACACTTTTACATCCACTTCTGCAGAGAAGAACATAAGATTTGCAGTTCAAAATACAGGCACCTATAATACTGAGGTTTGGTAACCAGTTCCACTTTTCTGCTGTGCTTCTCTGGAAAAAAAAAAAAAGGAGAAATCAAGCAAAACTCCCATAATTTAATTTTGCTATCAGACTTGACTTCATCCACTTAGAAATGTTAAAACTCAAGTACATTTCAGCAAAACGATTTCAGGAGATGGTACTCAGTACATAAAAAGCTACACAAATAAACCTCAAACCTGAAAGTACCAGATTTTAAAGCTTGGAATTTAAAACTGCAAAGTGCACAGAAATAAAACCCTTACGGAGATGCTAAAATGTCTAATTCATTATTATTTCAAAAAAGATTAAAAAATAATTTCTTAACATTAAAGTGCAATCAAGTACTGAAGAAATTATTTAAAATTTCCATAGGAAAAAAGCACACTCTAGAATGCTGCAAGGGTATTGATGGCTATTAAATATTTACTTTTCTCTCTAGCTCACACTAGAAAGAGTAATTTGTATTTGGCAGAAACTGGCTGCAATTACATTAGTCAATCCAAAAGCCCAACTTGCTCATACAAAATGCAAACAAATTAGTTAAAATGGTCTAATTAGCAGACTGTAAAAATGCAAAGCAAGGCTGGCATAAAAATGTGTGCTAGACAAGTATACTTTTACAAAATAAACAGAAAGGCAAATATAAAATAGTCTAATAAACCCTAACTAAAGGACCATAATGTGAACCCAAATATTTAGAGATTTCATATTTTAAAGAAAAGTTTCTATGGACTCTTAAATATTTTCTTGCAACCTACATTCCATCATGAATGCATGATTAATACTATAGCTGAAGTTCAACTGGGATTTCAGTTCAGCCCTGTGGAGCCCTGTGGGGCCAGGTTATATATACATTTTGTGTGAGAATATACACAAACACAGCTCCTAGTCAAGTTAATCAGAGTGCAAGGTAGCTTTGGAGCACAAAAAGAATATAGGATGTGGCCTATGGAAGGAAGGTCAAGCCATTTCTTGACATGTAGTGTATTTGTTTTTGTTTCCACAATTAAGATAAATAACTGGAAGCATATGGAAATGTGGAAATGGTTTAGATAAAAGATAATACATGTTTGTACTTATGAGAAGTATAAACTGTGGGCATTGTCTACAAGGACTCAGGTTACTGGTTTAAAGAATGACTACAATAACTGTATTATTGTTGTCATTGATATATTAGACCACAAAGGGCTTTAGCATATCTTGCTTCCTAACACTGCTGCAATTTCTTAGTCCGTGGGTTTTTAACTCTATAGTTTCTATACTATAAAAATAATAGTCCATTATGATTTGTAACCTAGCATATAAAAGAAGCTATTGTGAGATGATGATCCGAATTTGCCTCCATATCCTTCTCATCTCACCACATGTTCTCCTGTGTTCCTGTCTAGCTGTCTGGAGCCACATTCTTTCTTCTTGACACCTGACAGATGGCAGAAAATAGGTGGCTTTGGCGAAATTAATTAGAGACGCATTGAAGAAACAATAACCATGAACACCCTCTGGCAAAAATATGATGTTATTTGGCACAAAGAACCTTTGTGCAAAAGCATTGCAGCAGCAGAAGTACTCTGACTATGCTGAAGAAGAGCTCACCAAATAGAAAACAACCCTTGACAAAAGGAGAGAAGCGTGGCCGCAAGGTGTGGTCATTATCACCATTACCACTTCTAACACATAACAGTTGACTCATTCAGTTATTTCACTGAAATAGTTGACTGTGGCACTGTCACTCCCCCATGCTCTCCCCAGATTGCCTCACTGTGCTAGATAGGTTCAGTCCATCGTTCTTTCTCACGGGGAGTATTTATTTGGTAGGAAGAATATCTCACTCTACAAGATGTCCCTCCTAGTTTCAGTGCCATTGAATAAGAGTAAGACATTGTGAATGTAAGAGCTGAGTTCAGTAGGACTGATATTTGACTCAGTGTTTGACAAATGGCTTGGAGAATGGTGAATGTAACAAGCTGCATGACAGAAATTATCTTTTCCACTTTCTGTCCAATTGCCACATATTCCCATCTCACAAAATTTTCCATATACTGAGAATCTTGAATTCCTAAGAGCTCCCTGGTGATGACTGGATAAAAAAAAGGATGTTGGACATATGAGGAAGAAACTGCTGTCATCAAAAAGGGCAGTTCAGAGAATCAAAGCTTGAGGTACGAGGAAAGAAATCCCATCATGTGGGAAGATTCCATCATGTTGGAAAGTTCCACTATGGTGTCCCAATTGTGTTGCTCCACATGTTTCATGGGTGACAGACAGATAGGACGACTTCTCTGTCTCTGCTATGATCATGCTAAGATACTGTGGTTGCTGCCTTTTTGCAGGAGCCATGAGACTGAAGAGCAAAATTCAACACATCTCTCCAAATTACTGACTACAATACTAGGTGTCCTGTGTTTTGCTGTTGTTGCCTCTACAGGCACCTGCAGCAAGCCAAGGTGAGTTAATCAACTTCCTGCACGGTGCACTGCTTTTTCGTTCTTCTCTATATGCACTGGCAGCTCCCTTATCCCTTGGTTGCTAAGTATTAGGAAAGGCAGAGATGCCTGAACTTTTGCAGTTTTCCTCCTAGAGTATTCACCCCTCACATGCAAGTCACCAGAGAAGCAGATGATCTGAGAAGAGCATGATGCAGCCTGGTACACCTCAACCCACTTGGGCAGGTCTCCCCATTTTATCATGGCACCCAAATCACCTGGTTGAACAGCCCAAGAGGAGAAGTGGCATATTTCCTATCACTCAACTCTGCTGTAATAACAGTTCAGTGTCTGTCTCTAAAGCAGCCTCATACATAAGTCAACCTGCTCTCACAGAAAGCTTGACTTCAACTCTGCTTACTCCAGTGAAGAGACTTCTACTAGGCTCTGTCACTTTGGCTCATGCACAGATTACATTTTTAGTCAGAGGTATCTCTAGTAAGCCTGCATAAAGAGATGTGAGTAGTGAGGAAAGGGTTGAGATCTTCCAGGAAAGTTGAACAGGAGAAGACAATGTTGGATGAAAACGTGGGTGAATAAAAAAGTGAACACAAAAACACAGGGAGGGAAACTGATAGAGACAGAAAATGGAAGCAGAAAAGATGTAAGAACTATATCAAGAAATAATGCGTAAAGAAAGTAAAAAGGCAAATGACAAGGAAGGTTAATTGTATATTCCATTACCTGAAACAGTGCTTGTAGCTGCAATACTGCAGTAAAAATCAGGCTTGTTTCACAGATAAACACAGCATGTTCGAAACTGGGGAAAAAGTGTGAAGGAACCAAATAAGTAAGAAAGAATAAATGGTCAGTTTTCTCAAGGAAAAGAGGGTACTGCTGGAGACCCACAGGAATCTGGACTGAGATCTATATTACTCAAGATAGAAAAATTGAAACTTACATGAAGAATTTAAAAAAATCCCTCTTAATTTTCACCTCTTGATAGACTTCAAGGTGCTGGAGCAAGCCCAAACAAGGGCAATGAAGCTGGGAGAGGGTCTGGACCACAAGTCTTATCAGGAGCAGCTGAGGGAGTTGGGGTTGTTTAGACTGGAGAAAAGGAGGCACAAGGGGGTGAATCTTATCACTCTCTACAACTACCTGAACGGAGGTTGGAGTAAGGTGGGCGTGAGTCTGTTCTCCCTAGAAACAAATGACAGATCAAGAAGAAGTGTTGCACCAGAGGAGGTTTAGACTGGATATTAGGAAAAATTTTTTCATGGAAAGGGTTGTCAACCACTGGAACAGACTGCCCCAGAGAAGTGGTTGAGTTACCATCCCTTGATGATCTCAGAGGTTTTTCCAACCTAAATGATTCTGTGATTCTATTATTCTATGAATGTCTGGGTAATAAAATAATAGCCAATACATTCTAGTTCAATAATGACAACGCATGTAGGGAAAACAAACACATCTACATGGTGATGATCACTAAATTAATGATTTCATCTCAGGAAACACATCTTGGTGAGCCTGAAAAATATGTCAGCCCAGTGGTCAACAGCAGTAAAACCAATTAAGAACACTAGGAAAATACTAGAGAACAAGTCAGAAACTATTCTGCTGATATATAGCCTGTGATGTACAGTCACCCAATCTCAAAAACAATATGGGTAAATCTAGGAAAATACATTGAAAGACAGAGACAATGGTCAGCTGCATGAATAGCTTCTGAATGAGGACTGTTTGAATAGAGTAAGACTTCTGTACGGACAAGAGGTGACTGAGGGCTAACATATGGTGTTATTTCTTCAGGAGACACAGAGAAGGTAAATATGAAATATTATTGACTATTTATCACAATGCAGGAACAAGTGGAACACAAGACATTACCGGTTGACAAACCAAATGTAAGAGAGCATTTTTTCACAGATTAGGTAGCTGAAGTGTGAGACTTGTTCATGTCCACAAGATGTTGCAAAGCTTTAAAGATAAGTAAACTCAGTAAAGACTCAATAAATTCATGGAACTCCTACTGAATGCAAAATCTCCGTGTATGATAGTAGCAAGTAATGAAGCACTGTATAGTTACTTTGGTTTTCTAGAGACAGAATATTGGGAAATGGTTTTTTTCTTGTTTGATCCAATCTGGATAGTCATTTTGATAGTCTATGGGATATGAACTAGAGGAGAAGTGCTTTTGTCTTTGCAAGGGATACAGAGTAGCTTTAAGGGATCTGAGATGAATATGATGCTGCAGGGTAAAAAGCTTGATTCATTTTTTTCCAGAAAAGAAGGCAGCTTATTTACCTTTGGCTCTCATGTAGCTCAGGGAACTTGCTGTACCAGGCTAGTCTCACATCACTTCATGTCCTACTTTCACAAGTCCTCTCTCCTTTGTTGGTTTCATTAACATTCTGCAACTCAGAAAAAAAAAAAAATCAGTCTAAAATTAGACACACATATACAGGATAGTTAAATAAACTCTTATTCCCTAGATCTACCACACAATTACTGTGGATCAAGCAGATCTAGAATTTGTGAAGTGAGCATAATTTATTCCAGACTCATGCTGCAGTGGTTTATGTTCTTGAGCCTTTGCAGATGTATAGTCACTAGAGAGCTGTCTATCTACAGGAGTTTTTACACATATTTCATCTAAATCAACACTGTAAATGCAACATCGAAGATGCAGTGAGTTTGTGTGGATTTGTAGCACTCCCTGGAGGACTCTGTGTCTAAAAACCAATAAACATTTCACAGTTCTCAGTAACTGAAGATTTTCATCATTTTTGATGCATGCAATATTGACTGGGTTTCTCATTTTAATTTCAGTATTATTCCACAGGTAATAAGTAATTGGAGAATAACTTCTTGCAAATGAATTATAAAAGTGAAAATTAATCTTTGTATACTTAGCTGCTGCCATTTATTCATTATAAACAAAGAAGCAAAACAGAATGTTCATTTATAAGTAAAATGCATTTTATATTGGTTGAAAACTGTGGCAAGACATTGATATTTTATGATCAAAACAAGTAAAAAGAAGACAAATAAGCAGTCATTTTATTTCTGTATTTATGTTTTTTGTCTTTGTACACCTAATATGAGCAACGCAGGTCCAACTCTGAAAGTTAAATCTGCATAAAATTCATTGTTACAACCTGTAAACCTTTGTGGAGATGAAAATTTCTAATTATTACTCTGAAATAAGTTGATGTAAAGGAATGACTGAATATGGGGTCAAGATCTCAAATTTATTCCTTAATCAGCAAGATGCTGTTTCTAGAATAAAGTGACTATTAAACGTTTCTGAAAGGCTGGTCAAGATTCAACATTGGAAATGCAGAAGCAGTGGTGTGTGTGGTCAGTGTTTACAGAGGTCTATGAATAATAAATAATCTAGATAATTAACCATAGTTAGAGTTTTACAAGTAAGACATCAAATAAATCAAGGCCTCCTGCTCATGCATAGATACGAAAAACAGCACTTCTGTTTGTTTGGGTTTTTTTGGATGTTTTTTTGTTCTTTATTTAGTGGGTTTGCTTCATTTAAATAGGAGACAGCAGACAAAAATTTAATCAACCAAAATTTTTAAAGTTCAAAATGATTTGGAGAAAGGTCACAAAGTGTCTCTAACCCTCTACCACAGTCTTGATACTCACAGTCTTTAGGGGCAAGCAGGTTGCATCTTGCATATGTACACTGCCATGCAGATTGCATCAATGCAGTTCTGCAGCTGGCATAAAGCAACAGCACAAGATCATGTGTGACTACTAACATAAAATGTTGGAAGTAAAGGAGATTCAAGAACAAAAGTGAATAGGACTAGGTTAGTGTATTTTTTTGCTCATGGGCATTTTTATTTTTTATCAAATCAAACATGTGGGTAAAAGCCCTTCCTTTAAATCGATACTGTTACTGTGTGATGCATTAAGATAGAGAAGACAATTATTATGTGCATTGTTTGTATACGTGATTGTCTGTGTAAGCAGAACTTCATATGAAAAAAGGAAAAACGGGATTACATGTCAAATGCCTACTTCCTTATGTTATCCTGTCCAGCATTATTACTGGTTCTATATTAACAGACTAGTTGTGAAATGATTATTTCAATACATAGATAAGTGAAATGAACTTATTTAATAATTTTTTATTTTATTTCCAAGAATGTCTCTAGTATGAACCACTCAAATTTGCTATCCAGTTTATATCTAAATATGATACTATCCTTTTACACCTTGAGATTCTTTACATCCCCACAGATACCAGTATATGTGCAGTATGATTCAAACACAAATAGTTTAGCATAGGAGCAATACCACTGTGTCCCCTGCTCTACAAGCAGCATTTTATACCCTGTTGCAGAGAAGAAGTTTTAGGGAATCCTTGCACACAATCTGAGCAAAGGAAGGCAAATGTTTAATGTGAGATATGGCTTTCCATTTTTGTGCTGTAATCTAAAACATTAGGCAACAGCCAACTGAATAATATGAAGCATTTATTAACACATTTTTCACATCAGCTAATCAAGCACTTCAGGAGTACCAATGCACTCATTGACAAATTTACTGTAATTTTTTAACAAGAATGCACAGCTGTGCAAATGGTCACAAGCAACAGTTTTCTGCCTACTTCCAAATGCCATCTCCTTTTAGGTGAACAAAACTCTCTTCAGCAGTCTGTCCTCCCTGTGGCCAGTGGCTGGTGTGTCCTGCTTCAGTTGGAAGTTTGAATGGTTTTTATCATGAAGGGATGCACAGTATTCCTCCTGCTGCATGTCACGGGAAAGGATGAATGATGCTCTTGGCACCATGGAGGTTGTGCAGTGGCACCAAGACTTCCAGATTCCACAGGGCTCTCCTGGAGGTAAGTGAGATAGTGCCTGCAGACCCAATAGTGTTGCCATGGCATGTTCCAAAGGAAGAGACTGTCACCACAGCAGGAATCACCCCCCTCCTTTTCCCCTCTCTTCCCTTTGGTTGTAGCTTTTGGTTTAAATCAAGAGACTGAGCAATATGCCTGCACAGAGATCACCAAACAATTACCCATTCAGCACCACCCCCAATTCCCCCTCTGCCGGCCCTGCTCAAAGCTTGCACTGGAAATGGGAACAATCACTATGGAGTTTGAGTGAGTCCTGATCAAAACCATGTAGTTGCTGTAGGGAAAGCATTATGTTGGAACTGCCTAGTGCCCTGGATAGGACACCTGATGAAGTTTGTCTCAGGATGCCAACCACAGCTTCTCCTTCCAGCTTACCACTGGGGAGAGTTTTTTCCTTGTGCCCCCTCCCCTCTCCCCCTTCCTTTTTTTTCTCTGTCTTTGTTGATATGTGCCATCAACTATGGAACCTGCTAATAAATTTTCATTATATGAATTTGCCTCAACATCATTTCTGCAATACACTGATTCAATCATGCCTACTCTCTCAGCATCTTAGAAATACTAA